AATACCCGACAATATAGTAATATAATAGAATATATATATATTTACAACTGGCCTTAACATACACTGAACGTTACATGTTCTTTCTTTTTGGCAAAAATGAATTTAACCTACTGTAGTACTAATGCTGATAGTAAAATAAATTACTTTATCACAATATAGCGCATCATCATACATATCTGTGACAGACCGTCTTCACTCAGAATCGTTTTTCGTATGCAATGATCATTGAATTCAAATTTAACACCTTCCATTACACTATTACAGTCACCCACTTGTAATCTACTGTACAGTAGAGCGACATAAACTTACCAGCTTTTTTGAATATACTTTTAAAAACTATATTCCGAACCCTCGAGATTTTTTGTACTACTTAAGGGGTGTCCAATGGCGGTACAAACTTCTGTTTTTCATATGAGAACCTCCGCCACGCCTCTTTAGAACGGATTAAAAGAGTATTATTACAATTGTTTGTTACGCTAACATAAATTACCTACACATATTTTAGCAGCAACTGTTTTTCGTTTAATTGTTGTAGTTGTAGACAAAATATTCTTCTTCTTCTTGAAGTTCCTATCCGTTTCGGATGTTGGAAATAGGGATGGCAACGATATATCGATATTTTCGATATATCGATATTTTTATATCGCTCGAGGACTTCGATAAATATTCACTTATCGATAAAATTTCGCGATATAACCGATATATCGCAGTTTCACGTATAAATATTTTTTTTTCTTATATCGATAATACTATCGATAAATTCATGGTTTTAATAATCTAAGACCGTGGTTTTAACTTTCTAATGAAATTACTGATGTAATAAGTAGAGATGATCAGACACCATCAGAAACATTTGATTTATGGTCCTTTCACACTTCAGTGGCAACAGCACAAGTAGTAAATAGAACAGCTCCTATTTACCAAGAGGTAAAGCTTCATGTTATTCAATAATATTATGTTTTTATATAAAATTCTTACTTTTGGTTTGTTTAGCTGTATGATTATTTGGCAAAGCCAGTTGTTGAGATAACTGCAGAGCCATTAAATGTTTGGGAAATTATGAAAACGATGTATCCCAATCTATATGAAATTGCTCGACAGAAACTGAGTATTGTTGCCATATCAGTGTCTTCTGAGAGGCTTTTTTCTAAATCAGGGAATATTATTTCAAAAAAACGAAATAGATTAACTGGAAAAAGGCTTTCGAAATTAGTATTTATGAGCTCTTTAAGCGAGGAAGACTGGTTCCAAACTGATTAATAGTGAATATTTTGTTGCTATAAATGATCAGTTTTTGGTTCTTTGATTTATATAATTTAGTATTTACTATATACATACTTCAGTTTTAGACTTATTGTAAAGTTAAGTTGACTGTTTGTTCTGAAATCATAACAGTGATTATGAACACTATTATTATGAAAACTATTTTACATTATATAATTTATAAGTTATGACAATGCTATGTTTATTGTGTTCTACAAAAATCTTATACTTTTATTTAGTGTTTTTAAACAAAATAAATACTGGTAAGCACTAAGCAGCTGAAAAAAATGTTTGGTATTTACTAATTTATAATTTTTATTACAACTCATACAGTCTGAGTAGTCTGACAAAATATTATTATTATTATCATTTTTTAAATATCGATACTTTTTGTCGATATATCGATATATCGATATATCAGGGATCACGATATATTGTTATCGATAGTCAACGGATAAAATATCGATATCTCGATATATCGCAGTTGCTGCGATTTTTGCCATCCCTAGTTGGAAATCACATTGAATATTGCTTCTATTTCTAGTGATGAACAAAATAGTTCAATTGATGTTATACTAAACCAGTCTCGGAGATTTTTTAGCCAATATATTCTTCGTCTGCCGGCGCACTTCTCTTGCCTTTTATTTTTCCTTGAATAGAAATTGCAGCAATCCATATCTATGGTTATTTCTGGTCATGTGACCCAGGTATATTCTAATTTCCGTGTTTTTATAATTTTCAGTAATTCTTTTTCCCTTTGCGTTCTTTTTAGTACGCATACGTACAACAAAATAAACAAAATATAAAATTATAAACAGAAGATATTATATTATTTCTGTGCAATACTATTGCGGAAATAGTCTGCACAGCGATTCTTTCAGTAAGGAACACACTCCGTGTTTTGAAAATTATTAGCTTTTTCAAATAAATGTTTACACCATTTAAGGACTGTCCAGGTATTCTGCATAGATACAAACTTATTTTTTTCAAATAAGAACCATCATTATTTGCTGTAAATTACTAAGCAGATGATTTTTTTTTTGAAAGTGTTGATGTATCTAAATCAAAATTTGAACATGAAGCTTTTGAATTTTTGAGTTATTCAACATGGTGCAATAATAATAATAAATTCATGAAAATGGGTTTAGAGTGTTTAGACGGTATATGAGGACATTGTGGTTTCAACATTTTTTTCTTATAAATATGAATCTATCAACGTTCATAATAATTCGTATAAATGGTCCAAGTATGATAATAACTATATCCAATATTACATCTAGTTTATATTTTTGTAAAACCTTTTTAAGGACGAAGGACTATAGTACTTAACATAAAAATTCAAACAACTAAGAAACTACTCGTTCGAATTCTGAATTAGGTAGTACAACGTAATTTTCAAAAAAAATTATTTTCATTAAATAATTTACAGCAAAAAATATAATTTAGTATCTTAAAATATATCGTATTTTATTTCTCATTCAAACATAGTAAGTAGGTATATTATCAAACATCGATAATATACTGAAATATCCATCGATACCTCGAGCCACCCGTAACTGGAGAACGAAAGTCTTATCACCGTTTTCTGTTATTCTTCGGTGTTGCATTCTAACGTACACTGTTCTATCAGTTATTATAATATTACGATCGATGTGGTATTTCACGTCTTCGATGCTTGTTATTTTAGTCCAGTGATGCCCAACCTTTTTTCTTCGATGGCCTTTGATATAGTAAAATGTTGCATTCGTGAGGACCATCTGCATACCTGAAAGAAAAAATATAAATAATCGTAAAAAAAAGGAAATTTTAACATCTTGGAAATATAATATCGTGTATTTTATGTACATTTGTTATTTTGAGTTATTAGAAATTGGCCGGGGGCCACTTCTAAGTTCTAAGGACTTGATCAGCCACGCTTGTCACAAGGGCATCACTGTATCATACAGGATTTCGACCCCTTTTTGATGCTGTTATGACGGCCGATCCTTTCCCACCCTTTCGTTACGAGAATTACTGTCATTTTTCGTTCGACGATTCTTTGACCGTGCCCTCTGTCGTCGTCGTCATCACGGTATTCGCACTTGCATTCGGGGATTGCCAATGCTCTCCACCGTGAGCACCACTTATATTACTATTATAATATTATTATACAGCTGGTACGCTCTGTTACTGTTCTGTTTATTTTTAAGAAATATTCGAACACGGATTCAAAAATATACATTTTATTTAAATACCCACGTATACCAAGTACGAAGTAAAGTGTTCTTTTCAAGACTGATGATCAAACGTCATTATTTTATTTTATTTTTTATTAATTGATAGTAACTCCCGCGAGAGTACGCAGTATATTTAAGTTAAGTAGTTAACGTTAAGTCGATTTAACTCAGTATGAGCAGCAACTAAAGCGCTAGTACACATTTTCAAGTAACATAATAGAATGAACTAAAAACAAAGTAACAGTTTTTTAACTTACGATTATCATTAAAAAATAAATCGAAGTCAGATATATTATCCTTACAATAATGTATAGAACTCTACTGATGTGACTATGGAGAACAAAATTTTCGGTTACCCGGTGCAATATAAAATAGTGAATCATGTCTAGTATTGACTGAGGGTGCTCTAAGGCCAATAAGACTCAAGAGCTCAGGACAGTCGGCAGTGCCATTTAATAGCTCATATAAAAATAAACAGTCGATGTAATCACGCCTTCTACCTAGATGAAATAATCAACATTGGTTCTCAACTTCGGCAATAGGCAGACCACATACAACTTACAAGTTTAGTTTAAAGACAATCATTCTAATAAAACTTCTTCGGATTTTATCAATATTATCGATTAAGTCTATTTGTCAAGGATTCCAAATCAGTGAACCCAACTCCAAGGCCGACCGAACCAGAGCAAAGTACGGGACTTTTAGACACGCGTAACTCATATCCGCACAGTTGATGAGTTTAATAAAACCTAAGTTTCTAAAAGCCTTTGCACAAATGGTTTCTATATTATGGCGTTTGAACTTAAGTTCGAAGATAAAATTATACCGAGATCCCTAATCTCGTTCACCACATTGATTCTAGCGCCAACTAGATTATAATCCAAAAGCGTTGGTGAGCGTTTGTGATAGAAGGATATTTGCATACGTTCATCTATGTATTTAAATGTAATCCGTTGTCTGAACACCATGTTGAGAAACGATCCAGGTCCATTTGCAGTTTAAACGATCACTAATAATACGATATATTGTAGAATATATTTATTTTTATATCATCAGCGAATAACAAGAACTTACTATGTTCAAAGACTGAATATAATTGAATAATAAATGTCGTTCAAGTTTAAATATCATACGAGTTTTATAAAAAGCTTTCATGAACAACACTTTTTGAAGTCTACACATCAAACCCACACACAGTCTAATATCATTACAATGTTCATTTACAGGTTTATTTACGATTTACCTAAAATGTTGTATTGGTAGTCAGATACATGAAAAAAATAAATTGACGTTAAAGCCAAAATTATATTTATCTACCTATTGTACATTAATCATATTGTTATGTAGTGTAATGTTCGTGCATAACACGCAGTAACCACTCCCCTCGGAAAACACGCCACAAAACAAATGGTTCTGACTTACAAAAATAATCATGGACAATTTGAATTAACTTATTAGATGTAATTTCGTCTTATCTCGTTGACCGTGAAATTCAGAAATTCGTACGATAGAATGATGTGAGAACGACCAAATAAATAGTCGTTAATCACCGTAATGTTATCGGCTTTATTGAGCCACGTTCTGAATGCGGATACAATTCTTATATTTTACATTTTGTACACTAAGCTAATCGACCTGCTGGGGTATTTTAATATTAAATTTAGATAAGAGAAAAGTATGTATAGTTTCAGCAGAAAAATAAAATATCGGGTCATTAAATACCTACCAAAACCTTGTGGTTTTTAACACGCTATTGCAGTGGTAACATACCCGCGTCATAACATACCTTACCGACGCACGTAATAATTCGAAGGGCGTGAAAACTCATTTACAACAACGTTTTAGATGATTATTAGATATAATTGTTTTAATGCCAACTGAATATGAGCATTGTTTTGTGTTGAAATATATTGAGTGAATATCGAATCAAAAATACCGTAAAAACAGTACTCATCGGTGCAAATAGTAAGCAATACCTATTACCTATTACCTATAGGTTTGCAATTAAAACATCATACCGCATTTACGTATAATTTGTAACTTTTTCTGATTGCAATAATAATATTTATCACTCTTAAATGCCACGAACAAAAAATTATAGTTATTTATTTTATATTCAAACGATCGAGAACAAGCGATTTTACTAAAAAACAATAACATATCAAACGTAAAAAACTCTTAGATGGTGATATTATTGTTAACCTAGCTAAATTATATTGTGGGTTTAAAAAAACACCACAAAAAGTCTAAACGCGCGAAATCGAACACACGTACGAGGTAGGTATAGGTACACAGCCGGTGTATTATACACATTTTTTAACATACCGCCAAATTGCTTAAAAAAAAAAACATACATCATAGATATTATAACACACACAACTTGTCGTAAAATTATTTACTCGTAATATGAAATGGCATAGGTAATAATATTCATAAAATGGAGTAATATAGACTATAGAGTGCACCCTGCAGCGGGTTAACCCTCCCAAAACCATAAAACAATAATAAATAAACAATGAAGAAAAAAAATGGTTATCATTATTCCATATTGATTATAATTTAGGTGCATGAGACCAATATGTGATTCTACACAAATGTGTAATAAATTTACATATTATTAGTCCCCCTCCATTGAAATATTAAATTAGGAAAAAATGTTTGGTATAAAATACCTGCAAACTAATATATTTTGCACAGTCAAAGAGAAAAGTGTGCAAAAAAATGATATTATGAACTGTAAATATATATATATACATATTTTGTTCAATAGTTAAAAAAGTGTACCTGCATAAATTATTTTTCCCGAAATGTATTCCTGAAGGTTTTCTCCAAGTTTAAGATGGTAATTGATAACCAATACCGATCGTAAATATACCGTTGGTCTTACCTTATATACATCACGGCTTTCTAAATTTAAAGTATGCACTTTCTTGACGTGTCCAGAGCAGACTCGACGTACGTTGCACTAGCCTGGCCAATTTTCAAAATCAAAATGTTTTGAAATAAATATTAGCTAAAAAATAAATATTTAATTAGCATAGATTTAATTTTCACGAAACTATTCAATGAGCGAAATCGAGCTTCGTGTTTTTACCGTAGCACCATCCCGGCACTATAATATTAAAATTATCTACATAATAAGCCTACATTTTAATCTAATTCGAACATTAGATATATCATAACATAGTACGTATATAGATACAACGAAGACAGATAACTAAAAATTATAATAAATTCAAATATATATATATACATTTTGTCATAATTGTTGACAAATATTTGGTGCGTTGTTAACACGGATTTGCACGAAAATCATTATTATAATGTAAATTTATAGTACAAAATGTTGTATAAATTATATATTTTATTAAAATATTAATGTGAATAGTTGAATAAAAAATCTATCATTCCACGACGTTGACACCAGGCAAATTGTAGAGGATAAAGAAGAACTCTAACCTATTTGAGAAAGTAAATCGTTATTTAATAACATTAAATTAATGAAAATCAGTTGGGTCAAAAAAAAAATTGATGAAAATTAAATATTAAAAATGTTATATGGAAAAGTTAAAATTTATTTTAATTGTTAACTTAACAAAAACTTTTTAACTAGTTTATTTAATTTGGAATGTTCTCCGTACCTACTAAATAATTGCGTTGTGGCTTTTTAATTGATATTCATTTTTTTATTTTTTAAATCTAAATTCAGTAAGAAAATTTATAATTTTGAGAACAAAAGCCTATTTGAATAGAAAATTAAAAAATCTATTAATAATTTAATATTAATAATTGAATAAAAAATAATGTGTACTTATTAAAAAAATCTTAGAGAACTAAAATCTTAACTGGACAACAGGAAACCTAGTTCAATTAAATTAAAATATTTATTAATTAAAAACACTTTAAGATACTTACCACATATATTTAAGTCAATTGATTTACCTCAAATTAAAATCTAAGTGTTATTAAACTAAATGTATTCAAATTTATATGCATGTACATATTATATATTTATATTTATATCAATATTATAATTATTAAATTCTAACCAAATTAATATGAAATGATTGTTCACCAAATATCTTATCATTAAACGTATTAAAAACATTAATATTGTCCATACAGGTGAAACACAGTCTATAATATCATTAAAAATATATATATATTTGTAATAGTACTGGACGAAATATTTAAATCGACGAGATGCGTGTGGCTTGTCAATAAGTTCTACACTTTGACTCGGGGACGTGCCTGGAAATTTTTATTTTAAATTGATGTTTATTCACAAGTTAATTATCTACTAGAACTCGATACCAGGACAACATTATCCTCTTTAAGAGGACGCTGATACTCACGTGTATTGTCTCCGTCTTACAAATGCGCAGCCAGTCATCTTTTCTATTTCGCTTCAAAGTTATGACTGCAGCCTCCTCGGTTCTTTCCTGCGCAAAACAGTGTTTTCTACGACTTCATGTTTTATAAGACGGAGCAACCCATGCGGGTGTTGCCATGGTCAAGTACGTACTTATGTACATGGGTGTAGCGTCCTCTTAATGATTTTTTTAATTTTTTTTTTTTAATAGTGTACGCAAAGATTTATTACTATTACTAATTATATAATACTACATATACAATACTTTGGTGTGTTTATTTTTTTCATTAATTGATTGATATGATACCAATTAATAGATATATTAATTTTTGAAACATTGAATTCATTAAAACGAGGAATAAATGGAATTACAATTATGGTTTTGTAATGTGATTACTACTTATATAGGTGAAGAATAAATAAAATAATAATAACTGAGGAATTTTGAGGGACATAGGAACACCCAAGTGTATGTTTAACACTATTTATCTATAGGAATATTAAGTATATTATATATAATTTTATATTATATGAGTAAATTATTCATACGTGCGTGCTCACGAAGTAGACAGTAGACTACTCCGTTAGTATTTTTTTTTTTTTTTAGTGTGCTATACATATAGATATTATGTGAAAAATAGAAGTTACATTATAATATTATGTGTCACTAAATTGGTCGTTATTACGTTGCACTTGGGAAAATGAATTAGCGTTTATAAATAAGAATTGTGACTTATAACATGTACTTCGGTAAATCGGGTATATGTCAATTGCGCCAGAAATCACAGATAAGGAAAAAAAAATTATGGGATTCAAAAAGGTTATACATCAACTGCGCCGGACGATATTTAGGTCCAAAAAAGATTATACATTAATTACGCCGGCAATACTGAAGTTGAAAAATAAGCTGATTACACACTAGGCGATTTGAACGTACTCGTCTGCGTTTATATTACACACGGACGATTTAAAATCGCGACGTTTTAAACTGTACATACTATACGTTATCTATCTACATGCAATAAATTGGTCAAATCGGAATATCCGCTAATAAAAATGAGATAACATGATAATATGACGGTACTATCAATATGTTTCAATTTGTGAAGTCGGTAAGTCACCATTACAAGAAATGAAATTTTAATACTTTTTGACAATTTATTCATATGTAATTTATCATCGTTTATTTACATGTATTTTAATTTTTTAAATTTTTTATATTTTTTAAATTACACTTTATTTTATATGTTTGATAATTATATTATAATCTAATAATAGTATAATAATATGATATTTTATATTGATATTTTATATTTTATAATATCTTCCTGGCACAACAGATATATATTATGTATACCAAATTAATTTGTGATAAATTTATTGGCGCAAAAGACGTATACCATTTTCGTTTGGGATAAATCCACCGGCGCAAAAGATGTATAAATTTCAGGTACTCTAGAAAAATCGGCGCAATTGACAAACACCGGGTAAATCAAACTAAAATAGGGAAAAGTTTATCTAATTCATAATATGAACCTATATATTATTATTAATTATTATTATTCTACGATCGAGGAGTGTCAAAGCACGATGACGATAATATAGTATCTCGCGTATTTTATGTATACGTTGCCCTTGGAAATAAAATATTCGTCCACGAACGAATATTGGGTAGCACATTGAGTGTGGCATTAAATATTCATCTTAAGTCTAAAAAGTGAATTTAAGCTCCAAAAGAATACGAAAACAAACTTAGGTAGACATCGTCCCTTTCGGTGAAATCCTTAACGAATCACATGCAATGCAGTTAATCACCGCACACGTAAGAAAGCTATACTGCAGCGAATCTGAACGAAAATAAAATTTTAAAATTTTACCGTACTGAACGCAGTGTGTTTTTTGTTCATATCCGATTTACTTATTGAAATTTTAGATACGTTGACCGGCTTTGTCCTCTGTAACGATTTTGGTAATTGCCATAATAGGCAATGAATATTATTAACTATATGATAAATCAATATGATGAATCCACGGATTTAATATTATAGTACATATTTTCATATCAAAGAACAAAGAGGTTACAGTGGTAGGTTACAGTAGGTTCCGTGCTTACAAATTGTTCATTAAAATTTTTTTATTATAACCAAAATAGTTAATAATTTTAAATTTAAATGTATTTTTTGTAATTATTTTTTTTTCAGTAGGTACCTATACTCTTACCTACCTGGGTAATAAGTTCAACAATATGAGCTTACAATAATACTAATTTTTATATCAATATAACCCGTTGGATGCTTAATTTTTATTTTACCTACCTATATAGTTAGATTATATATCTCAATTTTTTTTACAAGATTTTATTCAAAGATTATTTCTTTTATGCCTATACGTATGACGGCAATAAAATAAAAAGTCAAAATCAAAGTCAGTTAGTTGTATACACTATACTAGATAATTATCAGTAGTTAAAATTAGTCTCCGAATTTGTTCAACGGTAACACCAGGCTCATTCAGGCACATTTTATTATTTTATTGTTAATTTTTTTATTTTACTTTTTGTCATATACCGTCTCTAAAATAACACGCATTCAAATTATATTATGTTCAAAAATATACCTATTTAGTATGACCTATGCATCAAAGACATTGCAGATATCGTACATAAAAATGTTATTAAATCAATACCTAGTTATTTTAAGTGTTTTTTTGAATATCTTATTCAACTACGATTCATTAGCTTTATTCATAATAATTTTGATAACATTTCTTCACAAGTCAGTTATATACTAGAACACGACTACCGGGACTTAATACAAAAATGTTATCCGGGTAGCTATATGGGTATTTATAGAACCTATTGTATAAGCTAGAAATTTTTAACAAATATCGGATGAATTTTCAAAACTTGCTCTTGATGAAATAATCTGTATTTAATTGTTTATAATATGTTGATTTATGTGCATTATATTATATACCTACCTATTAATGATATTTTGTCCCTTTTTATTTTAATAATTCATGCAAGGGGTTATTTCTATTACTATTTAATAATTACTATACTATTAAAATTACTATTTTAGAGTTAAAATAATAATAACATATACTATGCAGGTATATAATTAGTACCTACAATTCCAACTCAAACATTTTTTACGAATACTATAACTGAGAGACAAATTAATTTATATTATTTCATATATAAATAATAATTACCCACACTAAATTTAAAATTTGACAATTTTAATGTGTTTTTAATGTTTTAATTTGTGTTGTTTATTTCTAGGGTTCGGGACTTCTTGCACTTAAAATTATCGAAATATGCAGTCAAAATCGTCAACGTATGCTTTAAAATATGCAGCTAATTTTTTATTTTGTTTTTAAAAAACGCATAAGGTATATTATAAATTATTATTATAAAAATAAAAATTTAAAAATTAGGTAGGTACTTAATATAATAAAAATAATTTTTACATCTCCATCTGTATCAACCTAGGATTCATTAGGTTTTACCACAACTATACAATTGTCGATATTGTCGATAAAAAGGTTGATTATCAAGCGATAAAGAGTCTATCGTCGTAAACAGATATACGTGTTAGATACGACAGACTATGACCATCTAATTATGATTTTTCCCGACAATTTTACGTTTATAAAAATATAAAATTGTGAAATATGCCCAAATATGTTAAAAATTGCTCAAATATGCGCTTTTCTTAAAATATGACGAAATATGCA